CCCGCCCCGGCACCCTCCGCCTGTCTCCTCCACACGGCCGACCCGGGCGTGACCGGCTGCAGAAGCTGCCGAGAAACACAATCGCAGGGGGAGGAGGGGAGTCCGAGCGCGGCTGGCGGGGCGGGGGCGGCCGGTAGGAGGGAAACGATCGTTCCCCAGAGGAGCTGCCCGTTACGTCCATCCGCGCTGCTCCTGACGCTCCGTTTAAAGCGGCGTTGGCTCTTCTACAAGAGCAGCACGGCACGGTGGGGCTGCGGTCTGACTCGTTCTCCGCTCTTTTTTGGGGAGGAGCGGCACAAGGTTTGTGCAGGCAACCTCGGCCGTTACAGCGCTGCCTGCGGCGGCAGGGGAGGGGGTGGTGGCCGTGTGCCTACCCACAGGCTTGTAAATAAGGTTGAAATACAAGGGTATGTCACGGTAGCAATAGACCAGGACCCCAATTCATTGAGTTTGGTATCGTGCAGGTAAAATTCTACAAATAATACAAATGTACAATTCAAATGAAGTGTTTCTAGTGAAACCCACTACCCAAACACACAATGCATCATACAATATCAACAGTAAAATGCAATCATGCATTTAATTTCCACCTTTGCCAAAAAAAATTTACGTTATTCTCAACCATCATATTAATTTCACAGCTGAAATAGTTAAGGTAGCAGCTACCTCTAAGTTCCAGTAAAACTAACTGAAAATCAAAGCTTCCAGAAACAAACCTGCAGCAAACCAGCAGTGTTTACATGACCAGTTCCTAAACCTTAATAATTCTTTTCAATTTTCTTGCATTCAGGTCTAGAACACCAGCTTCCCCCCCTGCCCCCGCAAAAAACCCCCAACCCTCTCTTCACTGATGTCAAGATTATTTGAGTTGAGACTTGTATTGAGAAACAAAGTTTTAAGCGACTTGTTAGCATTAGGAAACAATATACAAACTTTTATTTGAAGAAAATGTCTCAAATATGACAATAACTTTGGTCATGTTAAAAGGCGGCCATCCAAGAACGAATAAAAATGAGCTGCTTTATAAGCATGGCCACATACAGTATATTCAGATATTAGCTAATAGAAGCTAAGGTTACACGCATAAATAGGCCTTAGTACCATGCAAGTTCAACGCAGTTTCATACATTCATTATAAATTTTCAGTTATTTTCATGCCAAATCACCTTTTGGATAAAAAGGTAAGAAAGAAGTAACATCTAAACGTGACCAAAATTGAACAGAAAAAAAAAAATCGTAAGTACAGACAACATTTTTATTAAAAAGATCTTGAAATTACACCTGTTCAAGAAGTGTTATACCATCTCTGATCTCTCCTTCAGTGGGAATTAGTAGTGTTAAGCATTGTTACATATCAAAAAATACAACTCTGTTTTACAACATAGTACTGGCATATTCAAAGTATTGTGCCAAATTATAAATAGTAAAATTAGGTTTTGAAGTATTTCAATAGAAAGCAACTTAGGCTCACACAAACATATGCACATATTATAGTTATGTAACAAAAGTTTTATAAAAGGAAACATTTACCCCATGCCAGCTTGAATTACTGAGGTGGGATTCAATACCTACTATGAAGACTGACGGTTCATTTCTTTAAATATATTTATTAGTCTCTGGAAAAAATAAGACAAAAATTTACTTTCACCAGAATACACACCATTCTTCACTGACAATCCGTTTCAGCCATGACTGACATAAGTCAGTCCTTATGAAAGTGGCTTTTTTTTTTTATAGACCTTGCAGTAGAAAAGAAATGGTCCACTAGACTTCAAAAATTCAATCAGCTTCTGCTCAACTGCAGAATAATCCTACGCATTGCTTCTACCTAGAGTAATCTTCATCATCTGTCATCTGTAATTGTAGACAGTCACATCTTCCACTGTGACTCAAGGTGCAGCTACAAGTAGAGAAGTGCTTAGATACTCAGTCACTTCAAATACACTTGTTGAAGACTGCTTCTAGTGCATGATCAAGTTGAAAATCCCTTTACTGATCATAATGGTTTGTCAATAACTGTAACACCTAGAGTGAGGAAAAAAAGGCATAAATCTGTAGGTAGTATTTAAAAAAAAAAATCAAGAATATGAAAATCAGGTTTTAATATAATACCTTGCAATTAGTATAACATCAGAAAACTGTGCACCAGCATCAGTGTTCATATTTTCCTTAATTTCCCTCTGACAAAGTTGTCTGAATCAGTGCAAAGTTCTGAAAGTTTGACTTGAAAAAAATTTGCAAATACTTAAGTTTAATTTTGTTATCAGTGAAATATATCCTTAACATTCACTTAAATAACTCATTTGAGAAACTGCAATTATTGAAGGAAAAGATTCCTGAAACAACTCTTGTTTTCTAATTATCAAATCCCAAAGAACTTCAGAATTGGACCCCCATAGACTGACACAAATCTCTTGTTAAAAGGACTGATCATACCAGAATCATCTTTCTGACTTGCCACTTATGTGCTAAATCCCTCTTGAGTACACTTTAATACCATTTTTTTCCTTGTAGTGAATAATTGTTTGAAATCATCATTCAAAACATACCATCAGATTCTTCATACCCATTCTGGTATCTTAGGTTTTACCTTAGATAGGACCTTGTTTGGGTGCTTTGTCAAGTTTCTTATCCTAGCTGTTACACTATAAAAAGTCTGTTAAAAAAAAATATACGCATTACCTGCATAGCTTCTTCCTGTACTCATACAAGATGACACAACTGTCCATTTATCAGTTGTTGGATTATAATATTCCACTGTTGATAAATTACAGGAACCATCATCTCCTCCAACTACATACAAGAGACCATTTACAGCACAAACACCTAAAAGGAGACAGGAAACCAATATGAAAATCCGCAATTGGCTTGTTCACCCCATAAAAGCATGGTTTCTATTCTGCGACATCATGAAAGCAGCAGAAATCCAGGAACATGCCATTTACACTAAATATTACCACTGTTTTAGAGTAATTGTTGCATATACCTGCATTCCTTCTGCACATGTTCATGTCTGCAACCTGCTTCCATGTACTGGCGACAGGATCAAACACTTCAACACTTTTTCTTACCAAAGGACCATCATGACCACCTACTGCATACAATAAATTGTTTAACACACCAACACCTGTGAACATATGAAAATACTCAAAATTAACCAGAGAATGGTTTGACTGATACAAAGGAGAAACAACAAATACTATGTCCACTAAGACAAATCCTTCATCCAGTCAATGTTAGGAACTACTTCGGAAAACACTTGGGTCAGGATGCATTAAAGCAAAAAGACGGTAACTACAGCAAGACACTGATAAAATGTCTTGCATGCCCATCTACCATATTGCAGCATACAAAGACTCGGGCTGTTCTGCAACAGAAGATTTAGAAAATTCTGGACGAAAAATGATGTGCAGGAAAATGAGCATTGTTGAAATTTAGGACTAATTAGAAGTGACAGTAAATGAGACGGCATGCTCAGCCAGCATAACAGAAATCTGACAAGATGATAAAGCGTTAAGTGAATTTTTAGAAAGTAAAAACTGCAGTACGGAGGATAAAAGCTGAATGGATAGACATTATACAATAGGGATGTTTCCACTGAAGTGTTGGAATACCTTGTAAGCCTATCTATGAAATCAAAGTAAACAGAGTGAGCACCTTCCTCCTCCGGGATTTGGAGAACACCAAGGTTCCTTGAACCAAGCTTCAGTTATCAAAATATCCAAAAGAATATTAAAGGGTCTCCTTTACAACAAAAGTTTATCAATCGGTAAGCTTGGAATAAAGGAATAAATAAAGCTAGTCTATGTCTACTGGCTAATCAGGCTGCACATATTGAAAAGATGGTAACAGGGGAAGCAGGCAGGAAAGCCTGTTTATTCCTCACTTTATAATGCACTATTAAACCCAAACATAGTAGATTTAAGAAAGGGGGGGGGTTTTGCATTAAAACTTGTGAGTGATGGACAATAAAGACAACAAAAAACACTACTATGAAAGTACATTGGGAAACCTAATGTATGTCACATTTAAGATTATGAAACTCAAAGCTGAGATATAGATTTGAAAATATAGTTCTTAAAGGGTTCCATGGAAAAGGCACAGCTTAAAATCTTTAATAAAGGGAAACAGCAAGTATGAGTGCAAAAGATCCATTAAGTCCTTCAGAGAAAAAAAAAATGCTGGGGTAAAAAAACCCAAAGAACCAAGACCTTAATAGCCAGCTGAAATATCTTTGAAAACATATCACTAATATTTATGTAAGAGTTTAGAGAGCCATTCCTATATGGGGAGAGAAACGACTCCTGCTGAAATAACTATATTTTCTTATTAAAAAGACAGGTTTTAATAATTAAAGGAAGAGGGGAAGGAGACATGGAAGAGTTAAT